TATAAATATATAATAATTTAATTAATTTTTTTATATTAATTATTAAAAATATATAATTTTATAATATATTAATAATTAAAATTTTTAATTAATATTATTAATAAGTTTTTAAAAATATATTTTAAAATATTTATAAAGTTATTAATAATAATAATAATAATAATAATAATAATAATAATAATTCTAAAAATAAATTTAATAAATATTTAATAAATAAATAAGTAATTTTATTAATAAATATTTTATTTAATAATATAAAGTTTAAATATTTAACTTTTAAATATAAACTTTATTTATTTAATTATTAATTTTTAATATATTTAAATTTTTAAAATTTAAAATAAAATTAATAAAAATTTAAATATATATTATTTTTATATTATATTAATATTTTATTTTATTATAAAGTAATTTATAAAATTTTTAAAATTTTAAAATATATAAAATATTTTTTAATTTATAATATTTTAATTAAATAAAAATATATTAAATAGAGTTTAATTTCTATAAAATTATAAATATTAATTAAAAGTAATATTTTAATATATTAAAAATAAATATTTTATATAATTTAATTAAGTTTTTTTAAAAAAAATATTAAGAAATTTTAAATAATAATATTAATATAAAAAGTTTAATTTATCTAATTAGATATAATTATAATAATTTTAAATTATATTTTTTAAAAGTATTAAAATTTTTTAAATATAAAATATTAATATAAAAGTTTAATTTATCTAATTAAATATATATATTTAAAACTTATAAAATATTAAAAAATATTTATAATTAAAAAAATATTTATATTAATTTATAAACTTATTTTTATAAAATTTATTATTAAAAAATATACAAATTTTAAATAATTAAATAATTATTAAAAATAATTAAAAATTAAAATATATTTTTTTAATTTTATATAAAAAACTTTTTTATAATATAATTAAAAATTTTATAAATTTAAATAAATTAATTAAAAATATAATTTTTATTTATTTTATATTATTATTATAAATAAAAATCAAAAAATTAAATTATATAATTAATTATATAAATATATAAATATAATAAAGTAATATAATATAAAATAATATTTATAATTAAATTAAATAGATAGATATTTTTAAAAAAATTTAAAAGTTTTAATATTTAAAAAAAATAAATAAATTTTAAATTTATTTATTATAAATATGCTATAAATTTAAATTAAATAATAAATTTTATTAATAATAAAAAAATATAATTTTAAATATAATTAAATTTTTTATTAATAGTTTTATTATTATAAATAATTTATAATTATATTTTTTATTTTATAAAATATTATTTTTAAATTTTTATTATATATACTTTAAA